TTTTGTATGGAGCAGAACATAGCTTAGTGGATTCTGTTTCTTGCATTAGTTTAACCCGCCTCATCCCGCTTGTCCTCCCACTCCAAGCACGGTCACCCCCTTAATGCGTGATGTGAAAAGACATTGTGTTATCTTTGTTTCGCTTCGCTTCTCTATATGAGTTTCATTCTAGCTTGCGTCCATCTAATTAATTTGCATTGCGGCACGATATCTACGGTGGTTTTTACCCCTAGTTTATTGTCGAATGATGGTGGAAGTTAAAATCCATGCAATTTTTAATTCCGACGCGCAGCTTACAAGTCTTGTTGCTCCTTCTTATTCGCAGTCATCAACCGATGCACAGTATCACTTCACGCAGACAAAGAAGTCCGTACTAGAAATGCAGATTCAACTAATGCAATGTCTTGCGTCACACAGAGAAGGTCTCATCCTTTTGAGAGGGTTACAGACAAAAATAGGTGAATGGAGGTAAGTCAAGAATATCTACAGATAACTGCTGAAATTAAATAGCCTTTTTCTTGTGCTACACTGTTTTCTGACGGCTTCCGTTGCTGTAACTGTATAAAATAAGCTTCTTGTTACCATTAAATTTTGATTAGGCCTTCAAGTGTCTTGCAGGACTAATAAAATATGAAATCCCCAGCACCGTTAAAATCCAATCATTCATCTAATTGCTATCAGTAAGGAAGCCATACTAGGCCTCATCTAACGTTACTTTTGAGGAAGAAATTACAGCTTCATAACGTTTACTGACCCTCGGACGGTGACGCAGCAACTACTATTGCCGCCGGGGCTGGACGTAACGTTGCTGCCCCCTGGAAGTTGTAAATCCGGAAACCATACAAGTGCAAAAAGATGTTAAACATTTCCTTTCAGATGACAACAATCAAATATATAATTTTAGACAGTACAAGTTTAACTGCTACACTTTTCATGTATTACTCGAGGCAATCGTATTGAGAACAATAACCAAATTGAGTACTTTTGCAACTTTCCTTTCTGTGAGCCTTATCTGGTTCACTGATAATTGAAATAGCTTTTTAAAATTTTGCGTTTTGGCAATGTGCTGTTACAGTTGGCAGCACTATTACTTCAACATAGATGCGCAGCAGATTTGCCAATGTGATATTCCTATATGAAGCACATACGTCTAGAAGATACATTACGTTTGTTGGTGCCAGCAGCTTTCACATAAAACTACAATCTAGTTTCGTTAAGGAATTCCTATCTTCTACATCTACCTCAACTTTGCTAAGCCAACAACCATAGTTTTAATGGAGCAGGTTTTTTCGTGTAAGAAAAGCAAATAGGTGTGCAAAATCATGCAGTTGCTGAAATCTGTGGCATTTCATCAGTTAACCTGTCTATGACGGACGGCATCTCCAGTGTTAACTCAGCATCAAAGCACATCGAGATGTGAGACAATTCTTCACCGTTCATTCGTTTCTTTTGGCAGATTCAACCTTTCATGCTTGCCATCAAGTCAGTGTGGTGTATTTTGGGCTCATCTATTGCATTGTCCACCATTTTCCCTCTCTTTTCGAAGTTAGGCTGTACCCACGGACGCCGCGGATTTTGGCTTTACCGTGCTGGATTCTACTTTTGCTTTGTGAATACTATGTTATGTGTTATGTGTTTCTGCTGTGTGTATTGTGCACCTAAAGTTTGCTGTTGGTGCAGTTTTCCATCTGTGCCAATTTAGTGGATATTCTCCGGCTACTGTCGGGGATCTCCCTGCTTAGCCTGACTGCCGTCTACGTCCCCCATCTTAGATTTGTTCTACAGCAAGCTAACCGGTGTCTGCCAGACCACCACCTTGACCGACAGCGTTTGGATTCAGTATACCAGTGTAGAGGTTGCAACGAACGACTTTCGCAGATCTGACACTCACAATGGCACGTGCTGCTTGCTCATGGAAAGTTTTCGAAATGAACGTTAATTGTGGCGTGGACAGCTGTGTAGAACTTGTTCGATTTGGAATAGAATGTAGAAACTGCCTAAAATACTTCCATTCTCGTTCTGCTCGCCTTAAGCTTAGCCAGAAAAAAGAAATTAATAGCACGACTGATACTTTCTGGTTCCGCACTTAGTGTACGTCTGTTCCACTCGTCAGATGTATAACTGTGTTGGCGCAGATGTGTTATAGGTTGACAAAGATTGTAGAGCAGGTAGCGGCCGTGAAAACTGTTTCACATGAACCAAACATATCAGTGCCTCGAACTCCATGCTCAAAACCAAGCAGCAATTCAGAACAGTATAAGAGTAACGATGTAGCTAGCTAACCTGACACTAGCTGCTGCTCATAAAGATGACTCCGCCACACATTCTTCAACAGAATGACCTGCCACACTGAACAGTGTTAGAGGGCCGATAACCTACGCGTCCATTGTTGCTCGTCATATGACGAAGGCACCTCCCATCGTAAGCCCGCCCGCTGCCAAACGAGTTTCTTACTACCATTACTACCACGGGACTCAAGACCCTATCATTTGCCCAACCGAAGAAAGCAGCCAATGGTCCCTCCAAAAAGGGAAACCTGAAACACTACCACTACCCTTTGACTGTTATACGCGTTAATATGACTGAATCCGGAGCTACTCCAAAAAAGATAAGATACTAGACGACAAAAACAGTTGGCCTCCCTGTGTCAACTAACTGGGGTTAAAGCTAAACCAGTCAATATGATACGTCTCCTCAGTCGCCCAAACTCCGTACACTACGGTGAACTGCGGTTACTCCAGCTAACACTTCAGTCAGTAAATGATGCAGAGACAGTTCTATTGTCAGCCACTCTCCTCCGTACCATCGCGTTCATTGTTCGAATATTTTCAAATGATCCTTGCAACAAACGCCAGAAACGCAAACAAAGTCCGGATGACTGCCGTAAACAACAAACGCAAAACCTAACCTTGTTCACTGTGTCCCCGAGCTCCAGACATCAGGCGAGCTAGAGAATATAGTGCATGACTTGAATGAATGGCGTTTTATTCGGGAAGTGCTCTCACTCGAAAATCTTATCGCTAATTGGACATCAAGGTTACCGCTATCACCTAACTACAAAGGGTGTGGTCCCGGAGTGATGAAAGTATCATTGCACTCCGAACTGATGGCAGAACATGTGATTGAAATGCGGCACAAAACGCTTAAATTGCTGGCAGCCAAAATAGGTATAAAGGCAATAGGCACCGGACCACTTATAGACAAAGTGACACTAAACTAGATACTTACCAATACAATTCTGTCACTGTGTAGCTGAGAATGGAGACGATGCCAAAACACACGGGCAGGAAAACAGGATGGTCACCACTTTGTTGGCCATGAGAGCTCTATACAACAACCTGAAGTGGCCCTAGGGTCCGGGTTTTTGGTACTACAAATAAACGACCGGCAGTCGAACCTGCCGGAAAACCAGCATTAACAAACACGCTTCTGACAACCTATGTCCTCACCTGATTGTATACCAATGCACAATGTCTTCTCACCAAGTTAACCGAAATTCGTATTCATCAGGTCTCCACGCCCTGGGATCTAGTTATGATCACCGATATATGGCTGAACACGGAGAACATGGATGCTGAGATTGCACTACCCGTCATGACTTTTATACGAAACGATCGACCTAGCAAAGCAGGAGAAGTGCTCTTGTATTATCGATATGACCAGCATGTTGAACTCATTATGGACCCAAAAACAAAAGTCGTCGATGTAGTGACATGTGTTTAATATAAATAGTTTACCACCTTCCAATGTCTACCTTGGAAATGGATCGGTGCCTAACTTCTGTGATGAAATGGGTCCTGGCACGACCAAACAGCCACGTCCTTCTGGTGCAGGATGTCAACCTGCACAAAATCGAAGTTCCAGATATGCACAACGAACAATTTAAGGATGATTTGCAAGAGGTGGTCGCCGATGTACCTCTGTGCAACCATGTCACCTCTCTCACGCGATTCCGAATGGGTAACACCCTCTGTTTTGAACCTAGTGCCCTTCAACGAGGAATTAATGGTCGATACCATGACCATAGATGCACCACGGCTGTAGCGATCACGCGATGTTGCTTTTCCATTACATCTGTTACTCGGCGTACGTCAGTGAGAACAAGGGGGAAACCTATGTCGTTACACATTACGATATCCTGTCCAACCGCGATTAAGAAACCGACTGGTCCTTCCTGGCCGAGAATCCGCCGCATGTTGCCTAGATGCCGTTCGTCAGCCAATTAACTGAGAGTCGGAAAGCAAAGGTCCTTTGCACGAAGCTAGTGAATTCTTTCCTGAAGAGCTGTACTAGAAAAGGTATGCTCTTAAATGATTCAGCCTGGCGGGCTTACAAAGTCTGTCCAAATAACCTGACCTGGGGTGTTAACACAACTCAACGAAATCACTGCGTTAAGTTGATCCTCGAAGACAACCTTAAGCAAAAACAGAACTTAGCAGCTAAATTCAGTACAGAACCTACGTTGTTGTATAAACCCGTCAAGAAACTTCGCAGAGTGCAGCGCAGGATCCCAGTTCTACATGCAAAAATGGTCATGTGCAGACCGCGCAAGATACAGCCAAGGTGCTTCACCAACACTTTCTCCATACTTTCCTGAGTGAACAATCATGTCATCCACTTTGAAACAGCCATCGCCAGCAGGGTTAAACCGCGTATCGTCTACGGCAGCCAATGTGATGAAAACGAAGATGTCATTGCGCGTGTACAGCTCACCTGACGTGGACGACATCAAACCGAAGGCGTTGAAGACAGAGTTCATGAACCTTACCAAAACATTAGCCTGGTTCTTTCAACGTTGTCTCGACCAAATGCAGGTTCCCACAATGTGGTAACATGGAGTAGTCACTCCTAGTTATAAAAGTGCTAATCGTTCGGTGCCTTCGAGATACGTCCAATCATTCTCCTCTCAGTTTTATCCAAACTAATGGAAGGTTAGATCACAGTGTCTCTCACAGAATATCTTGCGAGCAATAACATCCTAGTGTCACAGCAACACGGCTTCCGCCGAAATCGATCCTGTACTACAAACTTGCTGCTTGCCCGAGCAAGTTGGACAGAGTCAGCCGATGCCGGAGTGGGAATCAACGTTGTCTACCTGGATTCTCGAAAGCCTTTGATCGTTTGGACCACCGCATTCTCCGTCACAAGCTTCGAGATTATGGAATCGTTGACCCAGTGCTCGGTTGGATCTGCAACTTCCTCGCTCAACGTCAGCTGAATGTGAGAGTCCGTAGCTCCATTTCCGACCTAAGTAACGTCCATGGGGGTGTGACCCAAGGATCGGTACTGGGGCCACCTTTATTATTCACATTAATTAACAATCGTGCCTGTGTACTGCACTCGAATTTCTTATTATTTACGGGTGATGTGAAAGTTGACATGATATCAAGACATCGGATAATCACAAGCATTGTAGTGTGATCTCGACAGGTCTTATGCGTGGTCATCCGACAACCGGCTCCAGTTCAACGTGACCATGTGCAAAATTGTAAGAATACGCCATCAGGTTAGCTATGAATATCGACTTGGGCATGAGCAGTTACAAGGTGCTTCCTAAGAAAACGACCTCGGGGATTGTGCAGGATGATCTCGGTTGCCAGAGACAGGCTGAAAAGATATCAAAAGAACCCGTCAACGTCTTGGACTCTTACAGAGGGTTTTCGGAGATTTTGTGCCAACAGTCTTTCCGCAAATGCTGTAAGCCTCCGTGATGCCTCACTTGGCATATGCGATCCAGGCGTGACGCCCACGGCGCAAGCGCGACGTCGATGCACTTGTGGCTCTAGAACCTGAACTGACCAACCTCGTTAGAGGATGGTGTTATTTCTCCTACCAAAGCAGACTGCAGTCCGTATAATTGTTCGATTTAGAATATGGACGTCAACGAGGGGACCTCATTATGGTTTACTTACTACTGACGAACCCAAGTCACCCATGTCGTGTGGCAGCTGAGACAAAATATTAACATGAGAGTCCAACAGAACAAACTGGTTACCCACTACCGTCGGCTTGATTGTCGACGAAACGTTTCCTCCTCCATTGTGTCACGTGCCTGGAATACTCTTCCGACTCAGGTTATCCTTGCCTCTACATTAACACTATTTAAAAAAGCCTTGATGAAACGCTTTCCAACTTGCATTACTTGTTATGGCTTGTTCCACTTAGGGTATGAAATAATGCATGTCTAACCATGTGCCTAACGTTCCTCTCCGCAACGGGGCGGTGAGGATACATGCAGTAGTGTCCATGAGAATAGCTTGGATGTATCTAAACTGGATTAGCATACCATATCTGTCAATTGAAGCAGCACACGAGTGAGCGTTGTCGTCTCCATTTTTCTTTCTCACCCATTTGCTGAACCATTACGGCACTTTATACTATCGCGGGTGTGTATGTCCCATTCATACTTCAAACTATCGTTACGCAGTAGTGCATTTAAATCGGTAGACGCTTAAAATGGCGATTTACTTATTCGATGATCCTTTAAATTATAATTTTTACTCCAACCATTCTACGAGACGTGCTAAGCACAAACCCTATTACCCGTGATAAATCATCGTTCTTTGTTCGGAGGAGGGTAAACTCATTGCATGCATGACTGAACTCTGCTGTAGATCCAACCCTTTTGTTTAGAAATAAATGTGCATTATTGATTTCCATGAAAGCAGATCTCCAATGGCTGAGAAATAAAATAAACGAATGATAATACCGAAATGAGACTAAAAGATTTTTCTGCTCTTGTGCTTACCTTTTCTCCTTATTCTGTGGAAAGTTTCAAAAAAGTAATGAACTCCGATTGTTTCTTCACCACAAGATTTACAAATCTTGTTTGACTATTCCATTTGGATTTTACAGTCACTTGATACTTAGACCAGTGACTTGAATCAAGACATTCCAAAAAGGTTTAGATGAAAAAAGAGAATATCAGGTCCATCTTACCAAAAGTGCAACAGATTGTATGTCGCAGAAGCTGCACGAACAGAACGCGAATTCAGGTCTTACTTAGTGAATGACAAAATGTAGCTCTAGGTTGATTTCGCATATGTTTTGGCACACTCGCTTGCTAGCCCACCATAACAACAGCATTGTCAACCTTCTGGCCACAACAGTCATCAGTCTGAATTCAATCCTCCTTCTGGTCTCTCAATATCCATCCACCAATTTCCTCTGTTTTGTTTGCTTTTGGTCTCGATGAGGCTGAGAATAGACTCCTCTGCCCTCCTTGCGTTATTACGCATCTAATTTTTGTGGGATACATCGGTACTGCTATCAAAAATAGCAAAGGTGCTTGCTTTCCTTGACCAGATCTACAATTTTTTCATTCAGCTGCCTTACCAAAATGTTCTCTAAATCATTTTGAACGGGTGGCGACAAAGAAAATTTGCCACTCTTCCTTTGCGTCTGAACTGCCACCAAAGATTTGCGAATTACAATTTCATAGTCGAATAACAAACAAACAATTTCTGCAAAGTTCCCTATAAGTTCTTGACCTCCTTTTTATGCTGGATATATTCTCGGTGACCAAAAAAGTAACATAATTTGCTTGGCGAGAAATCTGACTATATCAGGTATTCCAGCTTGCATTTCACGCCACCACTGTTTTATAAGTGCTAGTCCCATTTCTTATTAAATACCTCTCCTTCAACTAGCCGGATCTCTAGCTCTTTGCGGTTGAAGAATGATTTTGGATTTAGTTTCCACCAGTTTCTAAAACCTTACTCAGTAGAAAACTCGACTATGCAGTTGAAACGTCCTTCAGCTGAAACTAAACAGGACCCCATCCGAAGGAGAATATCATCCGTTTTCTCCATCTTTACTCAGTTGTGCAAATCCCGAGAATAACCAATTCGTTTTTAGATTCCTAGGCTCAGCTTTTGTATTCGTTCCAGGTAGGACCACTAGTTGAACTCATGCTCGAGGTGTTGCACAACAATAGATTCGAGCCGAAGTAACATAGCGATTTTCATGGTCAATCTTCACTGAAAACTGACTGACGTCCATAAAATCGGTTGATGTGCGCATTATCGTGTCAAAGTACGGTCGCATCTTCAATCCTTCCACTTAGCGCTCAACTTCTACATCACCATTATAAAGATTTCCCCATCCCTCTATGCTGTAAATGTCGATTTCTGTTGTTCGCATATCAACGTTCGCATTACCGATTTCATATTCAGTCCCAGCATGATTAGCACTTACATTTTTGTTACTGCAGAAGTGGTGGTAATTTTAATGTATCTACACTTGGAACTGCACAAACATCCGTGCTACAAATGCTGTCCCCTGTCACATGCCGCTCGGGGCGGACTGCCCTCCCCGCCCCCCCCCCCCTATACTACACCTGTGACTTCGGAGCATTTGCAGCCTGGAGTCCACAAACCTTCATGCATCGCATGTTGTGTGGTTGCCGTGACTCCAAGCAGGGAACATAGTTGAATATACAGGTCTAAGGGCATTTTGTAGTGTTTATCGAAACATTACATTACGCTTCGATATTGCCTAACGAGACTGTATTGTTCCTCAGCCGTGATATATATATAAGAGCCACAGTATGCTTCTACTCAGCGTAATCCGGTAACGCGTTGCCTTAAATTTTGCTCCCATGAGCTTTCAGTGGTAGTGCTACGCTGTACGATTTGTGGCTAGAATTAGTCCGCACTAATTAGAAACAACCTGTGTGACGGCACCAGATCTAGACTATGAGAATTTTCCATCTATAAGAAAGCGATCTTAATATACATAAATATAGCTTAAAGGTTTAAAGTAAGACTTTGAAATCAGTTTTAATCGACTCTTCCTCACTAATTTTTGTTAAAAAATACTTTGGTTTATCTAATTGCTTGTTTCGAAATGCCTCCTTGGCAAGTTAGCGGAGCAGTACAACAGCTATTAAAAGCTAGGTTTTCAATCTTGAGTGAAAACCTACACGTAAACTCGAATATTATGCTTGCATTGAAATGAAAGTTTTTAGCAAAATAAATTACACTAATTTTAAGTGAGTAAATTCATTATAACCTGTTAACACTTTGCAGCCTTAACTCGAACTGTAGTAATGAAAGCAAACGCAGAGAATACGTTTTTATGATCACTTTGTATGTACGGTTTAAACCGGCCCACTCAGTGGTGTCTAACATAATTGACTGGGCAGCGTTAAGTAACTGCGTATGTGCGGATTCAATTTGCTGCTTAAAGTGGTGGTTTCAGTTTGATTATAATCAAAGCGGGGTCCTTACTTATCCTTCAAAAAGCGTCTACTCTTCTTACCAGAAGTCTTATGCCACCTTACTATACATGTTGGCTAGAGATGTAAAACACCTCAGCTATAGTGTCGCAGCACATGGGAACAAAACGTGCGACAGAATTCCTGTGAATCTTACTCACAACGTCGGTAAGGATGGTCCCTTTATTCCAAACAAAAGGTTGTGAATGTTCTAAAACCATCCAGGCAGTATAGTATCCTGTTTTTACTTTCTGGCCCTACATTTGTTCGTACATGCTGACAGAGCGTCTTTACGTTTCACTCCTCACCAAAATCCTTCTAAACACCAGCCAAATTGACTACCTCGGAGAACACAACAAGCCTCTCCTTCTAAACACATCCACGTAGTGCAAGTCCTGGTGCGCTAATTTTGTCTCGAAGGAAACTGTAGCCTTTGCTCAGGACATTATCGTTCCGTTAGATGTACTACCGGAAATAAACATAATTGCTTTAAGGTAAGACGGTGCGTTCGCGCCACTAACAGTCACTGATATCCACCCATTTTGGGCGGTTTGTTTTACAACGACCGGTGTATTTCTTTGGTTCAACAGCAATGAACTAACATCTGAACTGCTTTTACGCTTTGACATGACTGTTTACTTTTCATTTGTGTTTGACCATATGAGGCACCTCATAACTCGTCAGTTTATGTTTCCGATCACCTACCGCCTAGCATATTTTGCAAGTAAGAAACAAAGCTAGTAGAGCGCTGGTGCTGTGTCCGGTTGTTCCGAAAACTGGCAGCGAGATTTAAGCGAATCGCAGGGGGCGTATAAAAAGAGTGAATTAAACTTGGAGCAATTCGTCTGATGATATAAAATGTGAACATGGTGTTATTTTTGATACCCCTAAACCAAAAGTGATTTTCATCCCAGTAAGTGTCACCCGGAGGTGCTTCTTTTGACAGCGAATATTTTTATTCTGCTTACAAGTAAAATCTGTTTCAAGCGCACCAGATTCACTGTGATCATAGGAGAAGATATACCTTAGCCAAATCTGCCAATTATTAAAATCGGGTTAAAATTTCCATCGTTTAGCTACTTGCATATATTTCAGCGCCATCTGCACATCAGTAATCGGTTAACCATGCTGCTTTTGTGTCTACGCTAATTTTATTGTAGCATTTCAACTGTCGAATTATTTCATGAAGTGATCAATCGGTCTCTGGCTAAATATGAAGTACCGGAGGCAGGAAATTCCTTTTTAAATGACCGAATATCTGTTGATCAACTAATTGCACTGATGCAGATCTCAATGAAGCTTCACAATTTATCGATTACACCAGAACTTGATCATTTGGACAAACTGTGCACGCAGGTGCTTCGTTTGTGGAAAACCATGGTGAGTCTGCAACACAAACGGCATCCTCTTACTCTTCAAGGTCTTCACTCGAACAGCATACGGTGTAATGGATGCTATAAATACTTGGTGGCAGATCAGACCATGGTAGTAAACATTTGATAAAACTGATGGTATCTGTGGAAAACTCATGATATTTACTTGAAACAGTAAAGGAATTATGCTCAAAAGTAAACGTTTTATAACCCATACACTTTTTAATTAAACTAGGTGTGTAGTCGATACTGAAATCTTTGCACGCATTTAGCCATATTGAGAAAGTGTTTTATATAATCTCAACTGTGGATAATCAGCCGCTGTATGTGCGTGATGCTGAATCCAAGCTTTTGCAAAAGCGCCTCGTTAGAAGCAGCGATTCGAAGTAACCCTCGGCGGCGACTTATGTATCCGACTTATGTATCCAGCAGCAGCAGCAGCAGCAGCAGCAGCAGCAGCAGCAGCAGCAGCAGCAGCAGCAGCAGCAGCAGCAGCAGCAGCAGCAGCAGCAGCAGCAGCAGCAGCAGCAGCAGCAGCAGCAGCAGCAGCAGCAGCAGCAGCAGCAGCAGCAGCAGCAGCAGCAGCAGCAGCAGCTGGTGGTGGTGGTGGTGGTAGTGGTGATGGTGGTGGTGGTGGTGGTGGTGGTGTATAGCAGACCATTAGAGCGTTGTAGTGAGAACAAGGATCAGCGTTTTCGCGGAAAGAGCAGACATGGGGAACAAATAGTGCACGTTTATAAACGAAAGCGGAAGGTAACTAACAGAAAATGTGAAATGGAATCTCGCTTCAAATAAAAACCTAAATTAAAGATTATTCCATGACCCATGGGTAGAAGAATTTTGCTTGTTTCTTGGACTACGGGTTTACCTTTGTAGGGCCACACGATAGCTAGAATTGAGAAGTAATGTAAATGCATGAATATGAAGGGAAGGACGTAAGTAGCTACCACATGTGTCGGAAAGGTTGGCTGTGAAATGCCATTGTATTGAGAAGCATGTTTTTCTTACATGTTAGGTGTGTTAAATGAGTTATTCATCAAGTCTGAAAAATTATATGCAGGTAGTGGTACCAGTGCAATGAAATGCAAGCCGTGACAAATCAAATAATAAGCTGGGTCAAGACATAGTTGAATCGTAGACCAAAAGCCTAAGAAGCTTGCCCATTTGGTTCAAAATGCATTCACTCCAAGTGCTTATGACAAAGTTTGGTACAGCTTGACTTTTAACTACTACCCTGAAGGAGGAGCTCAAATCGGTTTCTTTCATGTGAGCTGCAGGTCAAATTGTGGAACTTCGCTGATGTAATTATAAGCCGGAAAGAAAAGTATAGTGTCCAACGACCAGCAACGTGATGAAGAAGTCACTGTAGCATCGTCTTGTCGAGGAGCGCGTTTTTCACAAACCATTTTATTTGGGTAAACGTTCTTACGGGAAAATAAATTCATCAGAAGATGTGGCTAAAAGACTTATACACAGTGGAATAATGCACTAGTAAATCATTCTTCATGCAACCAGAAAAACTGTACAGAGTTTAGTTTACACCATATCCGCTTTCTTATTTTAGATGCCGAAATCAAGAGATCATAAAAGGTGCGTTCTGCGCTGCAAATAAGTTACAGCTCCACGAATTGACCTACGTTTGCTGAGTCGTTTTGTTGTGATTGTGCAATTTTTGTTGCCTCCTGTGCACTAAACTCTCCGCTTTCTATGCTTATGAGGTCGACCTTTTATACGTTAAAAAGTAACTAGATCCGAAGCGTCGGTTCACAGCAATTTCTCCTTAATGGGACAGTATAAATAACACATAGAATGGTTAATGGGAACTGTAATTCAGTAAATTGAACTGTCCACAATGTTGTCCACGGGTAGAGGAGAAAAACTGCATTCCTGGCAACATTAAATTCCTGTCCCCAAAAAGAAGTAATAAGCATGCCTGTTTGTGGCTGACGTGCAGTGAAATGCATATATGTACATATATATATATATATAATTTTTATGTTACATCGAACGTTTTTCAAATCATTTTGGACATCTTGCAAACCATTTTCGATATTTTGGAAACCACTTTGGACGTTGTGGAGGATCAGTTTGAAGTACACGTTGTGTGGATGGATGGCGACGCGCAATCTCAAAGTGGACCGCGATACACATTGAAGTGAAAGGTTGGCCATTCGATCAATACCTACGGTACAAATGATCGAATGGCGAAGATGCACTTCAATTTGAAGGGCGGTCCACTCTGAGATTGCGCGTCGCAATCCATCCACACAAGGTGTACTTCAAATTGACTTTTCAATCTGTTATTAACCGTTGTGACAAGCTTTGTCCGTCGTGACCCGGTGGCTTAGGGGTAGCGGTCACAACAAACATCCCAATGGTCACGGGTTCGATGCCTGCTATCTCTATCTGATGAGAGGAAATAACCTCGAAACGCGTCATGGAGTGCAGTAGTTTTAGGAGGGCAACACCTAATTTGCTACTGCTTCATCAGCTACGGTCCTAGTGATCGAATGACGAAGGTGCACTTCAATGTGAAGCGCGGTCCACTTTGAGAATGCGCGTCAAAATTCATGCGCACAATGTGTACTTCAAACTGACGCTCCCCTTTGGACATTTTGCAAAACAAAATGGACTTTTTACAAATCACTCTGGACACATGGGATTTTAAGCAGAAAATCAGCAATTCGCTTTCAAATAATGAGGATGAAAGCGACTAGACGATGTTCAGACGACATTATGGTCAGGATAATGCTATTGAAGTGTGTAACCAGCGGGTGCCAATTCAAACTGTTTTCGGAATCGTGAACCTCGATCTCGTCGAGTAAAGGCGTTGACTGCGTGTCTCCCTATCTACCCACCTATCTGCACGTAGTTCATGTGCTTCTCACTTTAGACCTGGACCTGTGTAGCAAGGTGACTATTGGAATGTCGGACTTCCCATTCGTTTAGTCCATCATGACTTATGCAAATGGTACCTAGCGTTGTAAGGTTTTTGTGAAGTACTGATTCTGAGCATGGATTACAAGGCACCATCTCAATGTGGATCACGATTCTTGCTTTATTCCTGCAGGCGTGGATTATGTTCCTTGCTGTGGCTGGTTGAACTACGCGAAGTAAACAGCGTCGTGCGTGGTTTATCCGTCGACGAACAAAAACTTAGTGAGAATCTATTCTGTGACATAGACTATTGCTTGCAACACCTAAGCATCAAAATGTGGCCTTTAATCACCCTTTGCTTATTTTGGTTGTTCTCTTCAGAACAATGATAATAAAGCTATGCTATGTTTGATGGAGTCATGATATTGCTCAATGACCCAATAATAGAGCAGCTGAATTGTTTCACCCACACACCCACATAAGATACGTGAAGGCCCATATTGCAACAGGGGACAACAATGTCACTGGTTCTGCTCCAGATAATTGACGGCCATAATCAAGTGGTGGGATTGCACAATCGTCTAATGCCTATGCAGTTCCTTTGTGTTTTCCTAAGCGTAGTGTAGCCGAAATGTCGTACAGTTCTCTTACTCCCCTGAATTGATAACAAGTTACAGGTGTAAACCAATGTAGCTAGACTGGTGTGTGTAGATTCACACTTGCCAACCGTGTTCCAATGATTGTATTTCATAGGTTCGCCCATGCACCTACAGGAAATACGCGAAGGCGCATAAAGCGATACCGTAGGACTGGGTCGATTGTTTTGCTCAAGGTAAACAACGCCAGTGATCGAGAGGAAGGCTTGCACAATCGCCCACTGCTTGTACAGTCCCGTTGCATTCGCGCAAGTACAAGGTGGTCTGAACATCGTCCAGTCGTTTTAATCCCCTTTCTTTGATAACGACTTGCACCAGTAGGTCAATAAAGCTATGCTGTGTTTGGTGGTGATTCAGCAACTGAGCAGCTGAATAGGTTGACCCACACGAAATATCCGAAGGCCCACAGAGTGACAGGAGACAAGTGATCACCGCATATCTGCTTCGACAGATGCGGTCCAAATGATCGAATGGAATCGCGATCCACATTGAGATGGTGCCTTGTAATCCATTCACAAAACAAATGCTACACAACGACCCTCCAATGTTAGCTACCATTGCTTAAGTCATAATGGACTACGCGAATGGATAGTCCGACTTTCCAATAGTCACCTTGCTACACAGGTCCAGGTCTAAAGTGAGAAGCACATAAACTACGTGAAGATAGGTGGGCAGATAGGGAGACACGCAGTCAACGCCTTTACTCGACGCGATCGAGGGTAACGATCCCGAAAACAGTTTGAATTGGCACCCGCTCATTGCACACTTCAATTGCATTATCATGACCATAATGTCGTCTGAACATCGTCTAGTCGCCTTCCTCCTTATTTCTTGCAAGCGAATTGCAGATTTTCCGCTTAAAATCCCATGTGTCCCGAGTGGTTTATAAACATCCATTTTGTTTTGCAAAAAGGCCGAAGTGTTTTTTCGAAACGTTCACTTTGAAGTGGAAGTGATATATATATATATATATGTATATATATATATATATATATGGCACACTGCTTAAACCCAATCATGAAACCCAATGCCTATTTATTTGCGACAGTTTTCTTTCGACACCTAGGCTTTCCCTTTATATCCTCTCATCTACCGTTTTGTTTATAATTCTAGTATCACCCGTAGGTATGTCTTGCACAGATAGTTCTTTGGACGTTTGGTTGCTCGTCATATTGAGCAAGGGAATTTGTGATAAAGTATTCAGCCAAGTCGTTTGTCCAAGATCAATCGCCTTTTGAATGCTGGCAACCATATGGAACTAGTCAGTGTGTTAAACGTGATGCTGTGGTACAGGAATCAAAATATTTTATTAATTGTTATAGCATTTCTGAGTACAGTACATCAAACCGAGTAGTGCATAAAATGACAAATAAGATAATTAGTCAAATTTCCTTGGTTCTGTAATGATGCCTCTACCACACGCACAGATATACGTAAATATACAATCCTCACTTCCATAACGGCGTATATCTCATGTATTGCGACTGCGGTGACCGACAGTAACCGAAATATCAACACGCGGCAACGTGTTCTTCTTACATTGGTTAAACAGGGAAATGACCCTAAACGTCTCAATCATTGTCCCGATTAAGGCTTAATGTGCCTGTCTTTCACATAATCGCTTATGCGTGGCCTACAGAGGGATAGAGATAGCCATCTACCGGTGCACAATTTACATCTCTCATACGCCCTTCAGTCTGGTGCCCTCCATCGTATTCAGTTAAAAACTCGAATGTGTTATCTATATCTCATCATTGTGGAGGCTTAAAAATATAAAACCTGCTGTAATCCTGTGAGTTAGACTTTTAGTGTCGGCGCTTAATGGAGCAGGAAGTAGTTTCCGAAGGTTAAATTTGCAATGACCATTAGGCGTAGATTAGTGAACTAATTCACCTACGACATTCAATTTAGAAACTTGAAAATTTTCCAGTCAAACATTTGCCGGACTTGCGCAGAGCGAACGGTGGATATATTCAACGATCAGTTTGGCATGGCATAGTTAGTGTCCTTTGCTAGAATTCGAACGGAGTCACTCAGTCGCAGAGCGTTGGCCAAGGATAATCAACTGTTCCTGAGAGTCTGAGATTCTCTTCCTACAATCATTATCCTCTTAGTTGCAGTGGCATAAATCCTTTTACAGCGCACCTAGTTATAATTGTTATGTTACAAACAGGTCAACGCACTGTTGTATCGTCAAAATTTTTATAGTGCCCCGTGGTAACAAATGCCTATTGAGAGAGGTTTAGTAGCTGCGAGAAACGGTCTGTAGTACTTTTTAAATTTCCACACGATGTGTGGCTTAACGGTATTCAAGATTTTTTCACAGTGAGCTTTCCTACTCTCAGCGTAAGAAAAGATATTCAGTTCATTGTCTCCAGAAAGAATGCGAAACGATATATTCTAACTCAAACCTCATAGACCTGACCCATATGGGCTTTGAAATGGATTATCGTTAAGACATCCTAGCTTATAACTGAAACAAGTGTACATCCTACTGGAGTTATCCTATGGATTTTGGTATAAAGACTTTGCGGTGCCCTGCAGCATCCACATATGCATATGTTACAAAATTTTATGAAACCAATTTTTAAATAGGAAAGGACATCGTAGTCTCTGATTGAGAGCGTCATGGCTCAAAATGATTCTACAGATCGAACTCGGTGGAGTGCATGAAATTTGGCGCCTTAAACTGACGTCGGCCAAATTCAAATGACTCTTGATGAGCAACCAGGCCCATAAATTTGAGTGCGGAAGAGCAGAACACACTGGATTTGTTCACACATCCTACTACCGGCAATAACGATGATAATCAAATGACTAGAAGGTTGTGTGTTGCAGCCATTGTGCGTGTTACCGAACCAACTATGGTTCACTTCATGACTAAGCGAATTCCCCTTAGTTACTGCGTACTCGCTTCATTTATGTCGCGCATTGCAAACACAACAGCGGCTCTGTTGGTGAGTAGCCCAGGCAAACCGAACATGTTACCTCTTCTGGACATTGCAATGAATGCGAAGCAGCCATTTAACATAGAGGGACCAGCTTCGTTTACGGGATCTAACATGACTATTGACCAAGCAAGAACAAGCAAACACTGTGCATGGGGGAACAAAGTTATGGACCAACCGGCCGAGTTTTATCGGTTATTATCCTGATTCTCATTTCAACTGACTCAAGCATTAAAGGAAAATTAGCCGCTACAAAAATCAACGCGCCTATTGTCATCCTCTAAATGATCTGCTAGTTTAGGATGTATTAATGAGAGAAGATCAAACATGAAGCCAACTAGTGAATGCAGCGGAGTAAAACATTTACCAATGTGATATGTTTACGCGCTGAATCCAGCCTCATGACCTCTAACACTGAGTTACACTTGCAGATGTTCCTGCTATGTAACCTGGGGCCCTGCAGGTTGCTACACCATTGTGTGGCAATACAAATCGATCTAAAGTTCTGTCGTACAGCAAGTGGCCGTGTTACTGACAATAATTCTGAAGTTTTAATGATGGTGCCGAAACGAAAGCGGATGGAAGAATATACACTTAATAAAAAATGAAAACGAAAATGAAAATTGGTAATGTTACACACGGGTTCCATGCTTAACGCTATCCTATTCATGCAACTAATATCATAAGCGCTTAAGAACTGCTGTCGGAGCGCAATTTTGCCTGATAGCTCGACAGAAGGTTGCCGATATTAAAACTGTTATAATCTTTCTATGTGTCACGATTCCGAAATATGCAATGACTACTTTATAAGAACTCTAGCTCAACCGAAGAAAAAATCAGAACGCTGATGGCCTTGTCAAACTAACACGTTAGCCGCCGCCGAAAACACTGTGCAACTGAAGCGGATATTGCTTGTATTTATTGGTCACTGACTTTCAGTTTCTGGAATAGGAAGGTCAAATGCCTAACTTATTAGTTCCAGGCCCATCCAAACCATCTTTAGGAGATTCGCGGTCACGTGAACATCTTAGAAAATGCCGGAAAGTTCAAAATCGATGCGATAATCAAGAATCTTCGTACAGTCGCTGAAATACCGGCTTTTGTGGAAAATTCTTATCTTCTTCAGGACCGAAAGCATTGCTTTTCATCCTTTATCTGGATGCCCTGGATTAACTTACTTTGGTACAGTGTGCAGGGATTGCAGATCTCTACAACTAAAGTAGGGAACAAGGAAAGTAGCAAAGGGTACACGATATACTTACCTGGAGTAGTTTGCCTTTTGTACACAAAGCAAGTAACATGGCTGCGCATGTTCCTCTCTTCTGTGCTTTATCGTTTCTTAATGAATGCTCATTGCAATATGCGCATGTCATTGGTTACCTCCAGCCACAAACACTTTCAATACCATTAATGTTTTGGTTATGTGAAACATAAGTAACAACGCAGAATATACTTACGACTGAAGTTGATATAAACAGTATTGTTAAGCACTTGTTTTGTTATCCCATCACTGATGATGGAACAAAATTGTATAAATGGTACGAAGGCTGTTAACCATGAAACAAAAAGAAGTGGAACCCGATTAATAAATAATTGGACCTGGAAGTAGTTTCTGAGGCTTTAGCTGAACCTGGCCTTGAAGTCGACCTTGAAGTCTTGATTGGTATGGCAACGACAATTTTCAAACCGATCGGTCAGATTGGTGAGCAAAGCAAATACGGCGGTAAAGAGGCACAGCCCCCAATCTACTGTGCCACTCATGTTTAGGTAGTACACAACTTGGCCTACGTCGGCTATTCCTTTACTACAAACAGTCAGATATTGTCGGTTCAGCAAGAACATCACAGATTCATCTTAAAATCGTAAAGGCCGTCTTACGCTAACTTCCAAGAAATTTCCAGCAGTAGGCTACACTATGAGCAACAGATCCTAACATTTACCCCACACTTCCATTCTTATAAACAATTTTGCCAGATATTATTGGCAGGCAGTTATACAACGTGGCATGTCTGTACACGTGATTTGACATCAAGATCTTCGGTTAGCCGGCGGCATAATATAATCGTCCTTAGTTCAACTGTATGCGCTGCGTGTCAGTCAGTAAAGTTTTAGTGGGGAAAAAGAAAACTGTGTGTGAGAGTTTGGGTGCGTACTGTTTCAACACTGACACACCACAACCAGTTTCATCCTCGTTTTAACTCATCAGCTGGTGTTAGTCTGAGCTGAGAATGGGACTCGGGGTCTAATGGTTAACGGCTGACGCCTTGATCACAAGTGTTTTGAGAGTGCAACACCCAAAGCACTCAAGTTCGGACACAGTACTATGCTCAGAATGACGGTACGATACTTCAAATTAAACCGAGGTCTCAATAGAGATGGCGTGCTGCAATCCAGACAAACGGCGAATACTCCAAACCCTACTCTGAAAAATGTGTATACCTCACAAAACTTTCCACGCCATTATGTTCGCACAACCCAAATGAGCGGATAGTAATTTTTGATACATTAAGGCTTAGAGCAGCATGCTGTTTTAAGTAAACATTTAAGGAAGCCGTAGCAATTACTCCCGTTACTCCAAAGAAAGCTATAATAAGAGAATACTAATCTTTAGCAGCTCACGGTGAATCTTTATTGTTCAGGCGTTGGATCCATATTTGTCTACATAATTCATATGCTTCACCCTTGTGAGAAGGGGTGATTTTGCCTGTTAAACTTGAATCAGCGATGGCCTGTATGTTATTCTCCAGGGGTGCGTCGGCTATGGAACTGACCCATATTCAAGAACGCGCCATCCGTACGATTGGTCTGCAATTGGCTGAAACGTGCCGAGGGGTAGCGTACTTGTCCTGCGCTGGTCTTTTGCATGAATGCGCACAGGATTTGGCTGATCATCTGAGCAATCACTCTTTGGTAAGGTTTTTTAACCAGAATAATCCAAATATGTCAACCCAGTTTGCATGTTCAACCAGGTGCATATATCTGATTTAGAAAATGTTTGTGTTGCATCCAGTGTTTTATATGTCACTCCTGTTAACGTACCGAATACCCCAGTATATCACTGCGCCACACAGGGAACCATTGGAGCATTGAATATTGAGAATACGCGAAAGGAACCGAACCAGTACAAGGATAATATTCATTCATATTTTCTCATACTTTATTGAGACAGCCGACGGTAAACAAATTAGGTACGCTTGAATTATGAATACACTGTAGAAGGAGCAAAGATAATTAGGAGCGTTTCTTTGTGCAATAAGAGACCTTTGAGTTTGATTGTTTATCCTCTGTGCCATGCAGAAAATGAGGCAACTAAGTTTGACTAGCGCAATTCTTAGGCACTACGACTGGCTGTCTGCGTTCATCAAAGATGAAATGCGATTGCTACTTGATCGAAGTTCAGAGGTGAATTAGAAGCAACAAAAACAAACTGTGTACGAAGGAACCTAATCCGAAAACCACATCTTGCAATCCAAAAACGCATCCATATACACAGCAATGGTAAACACGGCTTTTAGTATGTAAAGCAATGAGAAAGATCCCCTTAATCCTTCAGCAAATGTACGATAATGGTCAGTCATGGTAAGTGGGATACAAACAGGATTCAAAGAACCCATCATTCATCAGCCATAACGTCCTACACTAGTATGCAAACATACTCCACATAGTGAGGCATTAAATTTTAACACCAGTTATGCTTGATGAGTACATATAAACACTGCGATACTCGATCGATGACCTAGGGCTTCAGCTGTTTATCCACTTCCGAATGAATAACAGACTGAAACATGTTTTATGTCTCAACTATCTTTACCGTTGACTCGAGGTTCGGAAATTTGCTCTGTGCTCCATCACGGTTTATTGCAGCAGTTTAGCGCTCAAAGCACTATTGTTACCTGGTACAAACCAAATCGGTAAGAGCATTAAGTTTTCCACACTACTTCCTGGAAGAAATGCACGCCAATTAGCATGCACTGCTGAATGAGTGTCATTCAGTTGACGTAGCTATCTGGTCCAGTATTGCATATGCGATTAATATTTGCCAGGGTCTAGCAATCGACTGAAAATTCGTGTTGCATTTGTGTTGTCCAAGGAGTTTTATCGCTGATAAAATTACGAACCAGCATTACATTTTCAACACTGTGCATGTTGTTTAGTAAGAGTAAACAAAGCAATTTGTGATGGTAATTCTTTTTTCTACGGACTCCGCTATCATCTGTTCACGATGAGGTATCACTGTTATCTGCATAAGTAAATCGAATGTAAAAATTGTTCCTTCCGGTTATGGCATCACCGAAACCGATGAAGGGAACGTTATCGGCCACTTTAACAGAACACTAAGTATGTTCATAAGCGAACATTCTCTGCTAATTGAGTAATGATATGTTGCCATCACCCAGATGATCACCGCGATTTTAATCAAGTGACTCTCCACGCAGCAAAATATTGGCATAATATTCCAGGAATTTGCGGAGACTTTAGCTAAAAGGCCTAATATGTGGGAAAATGTTTAAGTGCGTCTGGTCGAATCTGCAGCTAGGGCTTAAACTGGTCCCAATAATCACAAAGCGCTTTCTCCGTTAACGCTCCAGATCGATTGTTATGATTGGATTCTGACATCATGGGCCTGCCGCCAGAAACGCAGCATTCTCGTTCCTGGGAACGGCCATTGGCATGAAGATTAGACCGAGGCGTGCGAACGCATTTTTATATGCGTTGAAGAAAAGAGTTGGTGTTCTGTATTCTGTACCCGCATCAAGTGTTAGCTGACCATTTGGCTGTTTATTAACTGTTGCGCTGATACAATTCGAAGTCTGGTCGATGAAATTTATTGACTAATCAGCGGAGGCTGGAACATTGTCCAAAAAGTGTAGTTCTTACGATCAGTTCAGGAATCTCGGATTTTACCCAGTTACTCCACTGGAATAGCTGCAAAGAGACTTTTTGAGTTAGCATTGAACATCAAAATTTAAAGTATCCCATGTGGGACCAAACTGCATTCTTTCATTCTCAATTTACTCAAAGCAAATGTTTGCCACAACTTCCACAGCGTTAAGTACAAGATGTTACTTACACACACGAACAAACCCCGAGTGTTTAGCGCTGCTAGGTCAAGAATAGAACGTTTGGACTAGTACTGAAGCCTTCAACGCACATGATGTCCTCAAATCGCGAACGACTATAAGTGAATTTGGTTGAGGGTGAGTTGGTGGACATAGAGGGTGTCGATCGAGGGGTGAACGAACATTCAAACTGAGGTGTAATAAGTGGTCGTTTGTCTTCAAGATTATGCACGACACACTTTTCTGTTTGTGGACAGTAGTCAGAGGATTCGGTTTGGCGGTCAGGCTTAATCTATGTTCGCGGAGTCCCGAGGATGGAGAAGGCGATACATCGTGGATGGTGTAAAAGTTATAGATTGCAAATGAGGACTGTCGCTAATAAGTTTACAATATTTTAGGCTTCCGCAACTGGTGAACCATACCATTTGTGACACCAGTGAGGTGACACATTCTGCGCAAGCGTTTTTCCTGGATATTACAATACAACTAGTACACCGGTCTAAAGAGGCATTCAAGTCACATCCTGAGGAATGAAGTTAGATTGACAAAATGTGTCTTTTAATTGTTTTTCACTAGGATTTATGTCCAACAAGATGGGTCATACATTTACTCATACGTTTCGATGCAAGGCTGCCCAGTGCGAATGAGAGGGAATGTACTGGAATAATTTAAAAGCCATCAAGCAATTTAAGTTAGAATTGCCAGTGTTCATCTTATGACACGAACAGGGTCTTCCATGCGTTTTTTTTCTCTACACGTCTATATTACGCACAGTTTTGTGTCCACTAAACTACATACACCGTTGCATTTTTAATGCGAAGCATTCTTTTCCCTAAGTCCCTAGACCCTCGTTCAGCCGGCATTATCTTCACCCAACTATGTTCCACGCAAGATGGAATTGAGGCCTTGCTTTCGGCAGGCCTTGTTGACAAACAGTTTGTTGAAGTTTGGAGGAGACTGTCTATCAATGGCCATGCGGACTGTGATTCGGCGTCTAACGTATCAACGTCATCGATGAAATGGTCGGTGGACCCCATCGACAGAACATTATTTAAGGTGGGGCTAATCAGGATACCTAACTTTTCACTGATATTTTACCAGTTAACAAAAATTAGTGGCCAGACGCCATCTAGTTTTTGCCATACAACTTTATTTTGCTACTCGGTTTCATTGCATAGACTGGAAAAACTAATTTCCTTATGTTCATGATTCACACGCTGAAACAACCGTCCTAGGTAATAATTATCCCAACGCTTTTTAGTTTACGACCTGGTTCCGGCCTTAATCTCTCGCTTTTCGTATTTCCTAAGTGGATTGTTTGTTTAAATTTGTTGTGATGCGCCTTCCTGTCTACCTTAAGCTTACTTGCTGCAGTGAAATCCACCAGGAAACCGTCTCCCCGGCACTGCTTTATCAGGGCGCGCTTACTGGTACCCTATAACCCAAACTTGCTTGCTGGGTGTAATGTGCCGAAAGTTTAATATACGCATTTATATTTTTAACCGGCTCTTCTCCCCCACATCTCATTATTCCTCATGCCTTGTATCATTACGAGAGAATGGCACGATGCTAAATTGTTTATGTGCTATTGCCAAGGATATGCAATACATTCCCTGAAGCACCAGTCCCATATTGCTGCAATGATTGCAACACATTTGGAAAATGAATTCAAGTGGGAGTTCTCCGTCTTTAGAAATATTTTAACCGATCACAGTTTAGCCTACAACAAAACAGCGAATATTTGTTTTTTACTTTTAAGACGTTTCTTTGTAAGCAGGTATTTGCCGGTCGTTGCACCTAAATGTTTTTGCAGTTCAAGTCGCTTCCACCTAGTATTATCCTAGTAATTTTGAACCCGCATTCTCATTGTATTGCGATTCTGGTTGTCAATGACGCAGCATGATTTCAGTATGGATTAATTATCATACAATTTTGCTTGTGCTGGCCTCCCGCACCACTTCAGAAGGGAAGATCCAAATGCGCATTCATCTCTGGCAACCATAAGCATAGCTTGTATCTGCTATGTCTAACTCTAACGAATTAAAATCAATTGGAAAGCACATTACTTCCCAACCATGTGCATACTGCATGATATTTGAATGCAATACAGACATCTCAGCACATGTATGTGTCTAATTGCCGCAGCTTGAGTTTTGCAACTATACTTACCTCCAATGCTTCCCTTTGAGTTCCACATCAGTTCACTCTGCTTTTGGTAAGATCCCGAGGGAAAATTGTTTAGAAAGATTAGAAAAACTACAACAGAACCAGGGTGGGCAAACTTACCATTACTTGCACAACAACTCCAAAGTAAACGCAACCAATTGAGAGAAAGTTTACTTAACCGAGTGGAAAGATTAACAGCGGCTGTCAGTAGTCTTCTCGAGCAATCTGCTTGCGAATGTTGCGTAAGCAGTCTTTCTCGGTGAACCAACTTTTGCAGCTTGGCCGCGCAGCTTACAGTAAGTAAATTCATCATAGCTTAGGGGCATTAGGTGATATCTACGAGCCTACGCAATTTCACTTTCTTGGCAACCGAACCATATTGCTTCAATTGTGTACAGCTGCGTCAATCCCTCAAGTCCCTATTCAGTCTGACCAGTGTTTGGGTCTGTTACATCTTCAGGAATGTTATTTGTAAGTCGCCGCGAATTTTACCCCATCAAATAGAATAACGGAGAAAGTAGCTTAGATCTTCTGTTCTCGTCCTGTTTTCCATTATTGGGAGAAACAGAGGTACTAGCGCAAGGAGAGACCAAAAGGGAAGAGAATTCCTTGAAGCCTGGTTTTCTACAGTCAGTTCAATAAACCAACGCATCGATTTAGATCCGATATACAGGCAGCTGCGAGAAAAGATTTCACGTGCATCATCTGGCAAATGAATCAGAAGAGGCGGCGCCCACACTGGGAACAAACAATGATCACGGGACCTGAATCGAACTGAGCAGGTTCAAATGTCACTCGCTCACCGGTAAGAATCGACAAAACAAATCAGTTTACTTAACGCACTGAGGAAGTCACCACGACTGGTGATGAAACGTCTGCAACGAAACTGTTCAGCTCGGAGAACAGAACAAAATCTGAACAGATCACCCGAGCTACAAGTATTCCGATTTATTGCTAACGGAGAAAGTACTCACTGGTGTGGACGATCTGCAAGTGCTCAAAAAGAGTGAAATCTCCCATCGTCGAGAAACTAACCATTTGTTTGTTCACATCGAAATGTATTTTACAAACAACGCTTTATTGGACTGTAGCGCTTCAGCTTATCACCATTTGCAACAGGTTAAATATCCGAAGGCCCGGAGACGACACACGAAGACAATTTTGCATAAGTGATATATTTACACTAGCCAATAAGTTCGGTTCATTAGGCCTTAGAACTGACCAGTTGATGTGTGTGATACAAAACCGAAGTTCGCAGAATTTATGCCGCTTAATCGAGGAGATCGAAACCAATTTGTGTACAACATTTTGCAAGTAACCATTGTCGCAATTGGAGTCTTTCGGTTATGCTTACCTCGGTTGCATTCACCTTATTTTACCAGCCGTTCATTGCCTTGGTTAAATTGACAAGTTCCTTCTGCGCTTTCGGACAACATTTTGTCACAGTGGATAGCAGGAAGGCAAAGGATGACTCAAAGACCAAGACAAGTACACCCACCAGTAGTATAGTGGTAAGTCTCTACGTTGTCTAACGGTTGTGTCGGCTTCTATTCAGCCAGCTTTGTAACCTTTCGGTTGTAACTGCAACAAGTTGTCTGCCGAGTGCACCATGGTAAAAATAAACTGGAAAATGGATACAATAGACAGCGTCTTTTGAACAACGTCATCATGTCCGTCAGTTAACAATACCCGGTAAGGCAGAACATTAATCAGAAGATAACATGATCTAATGGATGGCAAAGTATCGAAGGACTGCAGCACTCGGACTCCTTAAGTAAACAAAGTCGACTATGTGGTTGAACAGTCGTTTATAACTGCTTAAATGACACGGAAGTTAATAGCTGAACTGCGGACGGAACTCGCTGTTAAAGTGTTCGTTCCATATAAGAGAACGTATTCTCGCGACAGGAAATAGACCCACTTATGTATTTTTCTATCTACGTAGCAATTTCTCAGACAAGTAAGAGGAGAAATTAGAATTCTACACATAAAGGACAAATGGAATGGGCATTGGGTAGCGGCATAGAAGCAGTATGATTTCGTACCAGGATAGCGATACGCAAAAGAGCGTAACAAGTTATTATGGTTAATATCTATTGCGAAGAACAATCGTATTGCTCACCCGTCCGCACTGGTTTACTTTCATCTTTGTGGATTACACCTCCAGAAAATAGTTGGTGAGAACAAATTTCAGAGCATCCGTCTTGTAACATTGGATAAGGACCTTAACGAGCTATGCCCGCGCTTTTTAAAAATGGCTGATATTCGACACAAATAGCTGATTTTAGAAGGGAATTCCAGGCTTGATGAACTCATAGGAAGAAGCAAGTTCGTCCATACTCCAGGGAACTGTGTTAGTGACTTCATTTCATGCTTTCAGTTTGGTGCCCGAATAGATTTTCGGAAGGTAGCGGCATCTGTGACTGGGATCGCTCAGCTGTTAGTTTCCCGTTATTAAATCTTCATGTGGCTGACAGTAACATGCACTAAGCACTCGTTTTTTTCAGCCATTCTTGGTACGAAAGAGGATTCGAACTGTTGCCATTTTCTTTACTTGACACTCCGGATGGCTCGATATTGTAGAATTACCCTTTAGCACCTGTGAAGGCCATTCGAACACACATAAAATTGCTATTGTGTAAGCTTTTTGAGTGCGAAAATCAGATACGACAATATCGTTTTCCATCACCACCTTGTGTTAGTTATTTCCGTTAAGCCCCTATCAGAGTGCAACGGGTAACAATATGACGGCAAACGGTTTCATGAAATTGAGTAGCGATTTACAAATAAAAAACATTCCTGTCTCGTCGCTGGATATCTAAGTCTATGCTTTTCAGATTTATTCAAATGACGATTTTCTAATTACTAAGCATTACTGAACAATAACACATTTTTCATACCAGTGGTTCGTTTGCTACCATATATTAGTGGAACTGCCTATATTGTGTACACTGAGTTAGATATGGTGTTTGCGTCGACTGCCATGTGTGACAGAGAAATCCTCATGGGAACTGGTGTGCTGTTGATGTCTTGTCATTGCAAGATGCTCATCTTTTAGTGCTCAAGTTATAGCAGTCAACTTGCGCACTTGGTCATTCTTCTCCTCATTGATACGGTGTTTTGACTAAAGAAAACTGATAGACTGCTGTCGTTAATGCTAGCTACTCAAAGAGCAATAACCGTGTTTTGCCTAAGAGCAGCTTTTCAGATCATCTTACTTGCAATCTTTATAAGTGTAGCATCAGTATGCATTTGTTTTCTGTTCACTATGTCATGTTATCCTCAAAAATGGACGTTTGAACTTTAAGATGATGACAAATTTGTTAGCAAACTGAAGCGCCATGGGGAAAATTAACCAAGCACTGAACAGGAGGTAAAACACCCAGGACGCCTTTTGCTTTCCCTTCGTTGGAAGACGACTTAGCCCAGTCAGCTAACTCTTGTAGTAGCAGGATTAAGTAATTTGAAATTGTGGAGCCTATGTTCATTCTATTTTTAATTTGAACAAGTAGTTTACTGTGCGTTTTATAGTAGATGGAAGCATGGGTCGATGGGTGTAAGACCGACCGACCCGCTGCAAGGATGGCTTCTCTCCACTTACATGTCGTCAGGGATAGAAAAGTCACAAGGAGCAGAGGTATTGCAACATAGAGAAGCAAATGCCTGAAGCAGCGTTAAAGTGATGGATTTTTAGTGCAGGGGATCATGATATCTCCAACGAAAATTCTGGAGACAATTTTCGAACTTTAGCAATGAGCTCAGTGTAGTAATTGTACAAGTTTTGCACACCTACATATCAAATGCTCGCGGTTTTTGAGAACACAGTCATCACACATCCAGAATAGCGCTAAACGTCCATTTTGTCATACTGGGTCCCGTCAGCAGAGCGAATCCACCGGATTCCGCCGGATTAGCGAACTCATACCTGTCAGCAGCTTATGTCACTAAGCCAAGTTTGACGAAGGCAGACGGCCATACTTATGGTTTCCTTCTGCTGTCTGCTGAGTGGTGTGATGTATTTAATTAGGTCATACACTGTGTGTAAACTATGTGATACCGGAGATTATCGCATTTAAACATGCGGCCTACGAAACTTGAAACTTGAGGTATTAATCTTAGTAGTTCTAGAGAAGATCTATGCAATTGAACTGATCCTATTTATATAAGGTCCTGTCCTCTAGCAAATCAAGTGGAGCAATATACGTGGATATTTTACAGTAACATTATACCTCTGGCTCAGATTGTTTAACAAGCACACATTCAGATGAACTCAAAACAACCAGTTTCTAGTGTTTGGACCTATTTTGAGTGAAAAATGCGCCTAGGTGCTTTCTCACAGTTAGATCTGTGGTTACTCTGTGAAAATAACCAGTCCCGTGTGTAAGTTAGGGGAGCCAAAAACTCCACTTAAAATCAACTTGTCTGTAAAGAAGATCCGGTACCACTACGTTTCGTTATATTCAGAAATGCATTTCACTTCAGAGCGAACCCGCTTACTAATGGGATGAACCGCTTGTTGATACCGTAACATTATGTCCAGCGTCTATTGTAAGTACTTTCAAAGCAAAATTACGAGGTCAAGCCTGAAGGTCATACTAAATACTGAGTAACTGCTCGTTTGGAAAATCTTTGATTATTTCTTTACGTCCAATATTTGAGACCGTGACAAAATGGGAGTAGAGTTCAAAGCAATGAAAGTTGCACAATCATCGGTTACCAGATTAGCACAAAGACTCAAACTTGCATAATTCACGCACTAAATTACGTCACATAACTTTTGATACAAATACATGCATACTCAGCAAATTCGTGGACTATCCACATAGATCCTCACCATTAGATGCCGTTTAGTTATTCACAAATGATCATACATGGTTACCTATTCGATTGTTCAGGAATTTCTTCGGGCTCTTGTTTTACCCACCTCCACCCAAGTTTTCTTGGATGGTGATCAGGCACAAATATTTGGAATGCGGTAAGCACAATGATTTTCATCGGCAATGATTGACTCATTTTACGCCTATGTTTGTTTTTCTCTGACAAGTACTTGGACAATCATCAGTGTGTCTAATTTGATAAATTAAATGTCCTCTGTCCCTTTGGTAAATGTGTTGCTTAGATTTTTATCCCTCATTAGTAATGCAATGTGTTTCCGTTCAGGGCAAGACCACGCATGTTATAGCTGTTTTTATCGTTTGCTGCTGCATTGAGTCCGTTTTGATTCCGCACAATAAAAACACAGATTTCGGCTTTGATTAGCCTCGAAAGTAAAATCCCGCCTGTTATATGTTTCGATGTGGCTACGCCACATATTCACTGTAGCCGGTACGCGGTTGTCATGATGACACGTTAAAAGCTAAGACGTCGATGAGTGTTGTTTCCTTTTGTCCTAACCCTTTTATTCCTCTCTGGCACATTTTCGTACCCTCTTATGTGCTTCCTTAGCTGCGTCCCTTTCATTGGCCTCTTACTAAACGGTTGCGCATCCAGCCATCTAGGAGATATTTATTTCATGGTGCGACACTAAGGGTCGTACTAGTTAGACAATAAAGAGTTTGGAACGCCGGGCCGGAGAAATATTACAGTCACTATTACCACTTAAATCGCTTACGCTGATAGTCCACCAACTGACAACCAATGTCTAGAAATATGCTGTGTCTACTCTAAATTGCGGAATATACCAGAGTGAAATCACAGGATATGTGTACCTTTTGATGAAACATGCCAAAATATCTAAGTACCATTTTCTATGGAATTCAAATTACTTTCAATGTGTGCAAGTAATACCGCACCAGTGGTCTCTGAGATCTTCGATAACATCTGGCATGAACGTGTTATTCAGCTGGAGTGTGAACTTTTCTTCTATTTTCTTCTTTCCACTAATATGCTGCGGTAGCTTGTTATCCTGCATGATGGCAGACTTAGATTGCATGCTGTTTATTGAGAAGCAACTCAATCTGCTTGACGGTTTGCTGCATGCTCAAAATGAAAACCGCAGCGGCACAGGAGCAGTCATCTTGGATGCATTATCAGTGGAACGTAACTATCTGTTGGTCAAATGCATAGTAACTGGTGGGCCAAACGAACGAATCCTACCCCATCGATTAATTTGTGAGGTAAGTGACATTCCCTACCCTTACGAGGACTAAAACTTCTGATTTATGCATTCTCGTGTAGATGACGCTATACAGATTCTACCAAATTTGTAACTAATATACGTTGCATTTCATCTTTTTGAATTTGATCACTGCCTATAATGCTTATCCGTGAGGCCAACATTGATCTAACGGCAAATGTAAATATATTAATACTCTACGGACCGAAATCATAAGGTTATAAGAAATACTTGTTTCATACTAGTCTGTTAGGCCAGGGCGATTGCTGTCCCAACAATCGAATGATTTTCATGACTGACTAAAAAAAATTGGTCTTCGCATTAACTAATAACAAAGGGGAGTTCAAGTAATTCACCCTCCTGACGTTACGTGACTATGCAACTGTAAGCGCCATAGTTTTACACGGAGCACTCAGCAGTGTAACTATTTGCAATTGGTTTGGATTTTAACACTATCGACTTTTATAAGATAATATAGGTGAACACCATTCATGAGATGTAGACATATCACTCTGTTTAAACCAGCAGTAGAAAGGATACAGTACAGGCTGTGGTTTTTGGTTCGATTTTCAGGAGTTATTACTGTTAAAAATGTTGTTGTAGAGTTACCTACCTTTGTCGGGTTGATGCTGTGTGGTAGGCACGGAATATTTTGGGAACAAACTCCACAGATCCTTCATCGCTCCTACTAAATCTAAATGAGGAATTTTTGCAGTAACAGTATGGGTTTCTGGATTAGGATGAATCAACCAGACTTAACTTAAAAGTGCATGAACTTTAGTGAGCATGCATGGTCTAGTTGGTTTGTAACCCACTGAAACATCTAGGTTGGTCTAATTCAAAATGCTGATGTTCAACTTTTTGACTAATGAAGTTATCAAAATTCCTATTCCCCCTACTTCTCATTGACAGCATACTTTAGATCCATATCCTTATCCGATGTTGACTTCGTCATGGAGTCCTGAAGATCTTACAGCCTTTGATACGCTGGACGACCGCAATTCACTTAGGAAGGCTTGCGCAGTGCATCCATGCACGTCTTGGTACCAACAAATGTTTCAAGAAGATCCACGCAGTTTTGCTTCCTTCTGCTGGTCACCATTATGCATGTCGGTTTGTCAAACAAGTGCAAGCTTTATGGAGGCTCCAAACTCAGTTCAGACCATCAACCGATGGCAACAAATCTGTCGGGATGCACTTTTTCGCTCGACATTTTCAGCATATTCGGATTTTGACGGTATGTTTGCGTTTTACTTTCGCACTTCTTTCGTGTGTGCAATACAGGTATTCTAAACTCTGTGCAAAATAAACTGCTACCATTAGCCAATTACAAGGGAATATACACTAGCAATATCAGGCCAAAAATATATCATAATTATGTAAAGCAGCCATTTTTTGGCTACACGAGCCTTCTCTCCGATGTAATAGTGATATTCACAACCGTGAATGCCAATAGTCACCTCTGGACATACACGAACTAGTTTGGAATGACTCCTTTGGAACAGTGGGCTTTGTGCACAGCAGTGCTGCTTTGATTTGATCTGGATAGTAGTTACGAGGTCTGATACTAATGAGGCCTTCAAATTTGGCCGTACTCTACATTTTCCTCTTTCAAGAAATTATTGACACAGGCTTTCGAGGAAACTTACAAAACCCATTGTTTCACTTGCGTACTGTTTACTCTACATCTAATACCATGATAACAAATACCCGCGATCTTCTGATGGCGTTAGATGTTTTCGCGCACATCAGCAGCGATAATCGGTCTATCAGGCAGAAAGTAGGAAGAAACTAAAAGTAACGGAATAACTTTAAAAAAGCGTCGCGTGCGGTACAAATTTGCTCTGATTAAAAAAATTGCCGAGTACGGACATACCCACTTTCATAATCGTCAATATCCGTCTGCTTCTGGCAAAAATGAACGACCTTATTTACCTAATTAATTGTCATATATACACTCAACTTGGAATATAAATTTTGCAAGTAACTAGGTCCCAAATAGGCGTTGATGCAATTGACCGTTTTGTTTATTTTCGTGCTGAATGCCCATGCACCTATTGCAATCGCGGCGGCGGTGTCCTAACATTTAGTAACGCTCCTCTGTGCCTATCAGTGAAAATCCTTTTCTGCTACTCGTCACAACGTATCGACTGTTTGGTCCTAAAGTGTACGTTCATCGTTACTGGCAAATACCTATTTATCTCCCCAGTTGTTCCAACGCAAAGCAGACAACTTTTACGGCTGTTGGTATTGGAAAAGTAACCAATCCCATGCATATTCGCTGTTGAGTTCAATAGATATAATACTGTATTGCTCACATTTATCAGTCTACAGAATATTTAAAATGTCCCACCAGGTTAGAGGCAATCCTGGATGTGGTATTGGACAATAGTCTAAAGATATTTTCGGTCTGCATTTGGACGACACTTGGCACTTCAGATCATTCTATAGTCAAGCTATCCCCGGTTGTTTATAGTAAGACTAATCACAAAAACACTAGTCGCTAGGATGATCGTAGATAGAAATGGAGACAATACCTCCAGTCAAATATAGCGCGACTGAGAGAAGTAGCTGATTCCACGGAATCCCGTTGGTTTTGACAGTTATGTCGGTATACTGTAAGTGACAAGTTATGTGAATTTCTGTTAGAATCTTTGCTGCCCGACAGAAACCATCTTTTTACGTGTTGATCGATGTTTGCCACATAACAAGCGGTTTCGTAAGATCAAGGAAAAGCTTTCATATGCAAAGGTAGTGTGTTATTGAAGTCACTTTTTGTTCGTGTAAAGAAAGAAGTGCACCGCCTTTAGCATGTCTAGGTCCAGACAATTCTAGGAAACAATAGTCACCGGGTGGTTTGGCGATTAATGAAACAGCTCACGGAGTCACCCGTCGGAGCACAAAATTTGAGGTGGATGAATAATGATTAACTCGCAACTTCTGCTGCACTCGCAACGGTTCGTTCTCTGACCCATCAATCGCACCGTTTCAGTGGTCCCCGTACCAACACTCAGTGTCAACTTCGCATCACTGCACGAGAAGCTAACCCAGCTGCCTTCATGCGGACCTGATATGTTGATTTCCGTCGTCCTCAAGCAGTGTGCCGATTATTTAGCCCTGCCGCTAGCCGAGCAATGTACAATGTGCTTAAAACAGAAAAATCGCGGGTGCTTGGGGGAATTGCTTACATAGCACATGTACCAGAGAAACAACAGCCTATTACATCCACCTCGGTTGCTTTTAAGCTTTCTGAGGAAATCATTTTTGTAAATATACTGACCCTGTCCCGTTTGGATGACCCATGTCAGTTTGTCCATAGATGTTCAAGCTCCACACAAGTTGCAGTAGCTTGCTAGTACAGTCAGTGTTGTGGTCGCTAGACAGTATAAGAGAATCCGCATGTGTCTACTTTCTCGAATACAGCAACGCGTTTGGCTGTGTTCACCGTAAATTGCATTTGTATGATCTATAGGCATCTGGTAATCAACCATGTACTCGAGCCAACAGGTTTGGCGGCAGATGCTTCGCACCAATTACCACAACCTCCGGTGTCCTTCAAGCAACTATTTTTCATCGTTCTCTAATTACTTTACCTCTATACCAGTCCCAAAAGAAGCTAGTCTGTTAAAGTATGCAGTTGAACTTATCATCAGCTTGAAACAACAAACTTCGGCATCTTTAGTCAAGCTACAAAATTGTATGAACGAATTAGTGCAATGGTCGCTGCTTGACGTTGAATACGTCCAAGTACAATGACATCTTTTTTTACTACCTAAAGCAGCTCGTTATCAATAAGTTGTTACAGATTTTCCCAAATCAGATTGTAGGTGACAGCTTGTGCTTCCGTACTTCAGTGAAGTATCTTGGTGTTACACTGAGCCACCATTTGCCGTGGTCATTAAATTTGAATCAAATATTCACCAAAGTCACGCGACTTTCGTTTTACGTCATTCTATGGCGATCATCCTGCGTAGCAAACAATTTGAGTCTGAAGTTCATCCTTGTGTGTCTTCTATTGCCATCGACTTATTACACTCCTGGGAATTTTCCAAGTCCACTGCTTAAGCAGTTTAAGCTGCTTAAAATGTCACTGAGGCGTTTGTCTTGCTGCAGTTGTATTCGAAAGCCAACTTTGGTAAAACAGTGGTGTAGACACAAGCAAATTCATGCAAGTAAATTGCTTCAAAAATACTCACCGATATTAGCCGCCCTCTTCACATTGCACTTTCCAATTACATATCTAACTTGTCGACCAGACAAAAGTAGAGAGGAATATATGCTCCCACGAAAGTGTATGGTTCGTCGGCCATTCCTTACGTAGTCAGATTTCTGTTTGACCAAAACGTTGTTATTCAAGAAGTGGCCAGTAAGTTCTACTAGTTATATTGATCGTGGTGTTGATCGTTCGAATCAGTGCATCAATCCATGCAAATCTTCTATTGATCCCTCCTACGCGCCATATCCTCAAGGGTTTCCATCTAGTAATTCACTTCAGCCTTGAGTCTCCAGATAGGAGGGAGTTCGACAGCTAAACTTGAAGTCAGCGCTTTAATATTTTGTTACTTTAGGACGGGTTGATCACAGAGCGATTTGTTCCAGTGTGTTCCTAAGCCAGCGATTAGATCGTGCCTCGCACGCCACGCGTAGAACTTGACCCTGCATCCTCATCTGGCGCAGTGGTAATAGCCTGTAGACTGGGACGCCCGCATTACCTAAAAGGTGACGTCGAACATTATCGCTGCGATCCTGGAGTTTCCACCACACACGAGCTATTCCCATCAGATAAGGCATAAAATAACGCTGAAATTCTTTCAAGTTATTCTATTTCTCTAAGTTGCACTTATCCTTCCTTTCTACCAGTGTATGAACTGCTGTGGAGTAGTTATACAATCCTGTCATAGCTCTTCTTGATCCAAAGTGTGATCGTATTTTCCACGCTTTCAAATATGCCGTCGAACAGTCAGTCATCTCGAAAGCCAGTACATTATCCACAAGGTTCAGAAAGACTAGCGACTTTTCACTGATCCTACAAATGCACAAATTCAGCACCAGAATCAAGAATGCGCAGTTAAAGCGACTAAACAATAAAGAATATATAGCTCTACGAAAAAGCTGGAAGGCGAAGGAGTTTATCAACATATTGCGTCGTGGAAGCAGTGAAAACTCACCTTTGATTACCGCGATTATTGACAGTCAGCTCTACTCAAATCATGACCCAACTGGGATCTATGCAGTATGTAGTAACTTCTTTGCCAGTTTCATGAGTCTCGAAGGTGACCTGGTTCTTGCATATATAAAGTTTGTATTAACAAAACCCCTAAGCTTAACTGATATATTATCCAACGGTATCCACTAAGATATCAAGTCGATCAGGCGATTCTCCAAGCTGGGACCAGATGGCATTCCACCAAACACAGATAAACTATGGGTGCATGATCTAACGACGCTCTTGGTGAATCAGTTCACACTATCGTCGGAGTTTATAAACTTTCGAGCTCAATGGAGAAGGTCATTTATCATGTCTTGGCACAAAAGTGATCCGAACTAAGTTATTAGGAAGTACCGGTCAATACAGGTCACGCCAATGACTGTGCAAGAAAAAATAATTTTTACGACGAAAATGCCAATGTCCCTACCGTATATAATACACTCCACTGGTCGTAGAAATGTACTCAGGCGTGACCTAACCCCATATGTTAAGTCGTTATAAATAAATTAATATTATCAGGCTACCTCTTAGGAATTATTACTAAATGTACTGGATTACAATATACACCGAATGAGTCTACGTTGCAAATAGGTTTAAAGCATCACTACGACACCCGCCGCTAACTACTGGCTGCAGCTTGTCACTGGGAAATGATGATTACCAACTGAGTACTGCTTGGAAGCATCAAGTTTACGTTTCTCTGTGTAGCTTCACCTAATGTCTCCCAGGGACGAAGGTCCGTGATGTTGTGGTGCGCTCGATATATTTTATGTCGGTAAAGTGTTTGTGCAGCAATTTCCTCAATTCCGACACCAACTTCGCCTCAACTACGTACTGCAGCTGGTCGTTCCATACATTTACCACTCTGCGTTTGAAACAGACTTTGTGAGCGACCCGCTTCAAATCCGGTACGACAAGCTTGTACTGGTGTTCTCCTATGCTGTATGGTGTGCATAGATGAAGCAGCGGCCTCAACACGGGGTAATCTCTCAGCTGCAATATCCGGTGCATCATGATGAGGTCAACCC